AACATTAATGAAACAGGATTTAGTGGTCAAGAAGATGAAGAAGTAGTTGTACTTAAGCAGTAAACCATGAACACTGAGTTGCTCCTGCACTGTTGAAAAATGTAACTGTCATGAGATCAGCAGAATCCACAGTAACCGGGGTAAAGGTGGCAGGGGGAGATGGCAACCATTCACTCAATTGAGGGACTGTGCAAATTACTCTGCCTCGTTCTAGAAGCATGTGCGATAATTTATGTGTAACCAGTAATAAGCAATGTGGTAATTACTAGCCAATGAATGTAAATTTGGAAAGGTTCTCTATAATTTTTCCTAATTGTGTATGTGGTGTGCTAGCTTTGTGGAATATCACCTAGCACCCATATCTGTGCAAATACGCTTTAAATAAAATACCTCTACTCTGTGTATTGGCATGTTGCACACTGGATATCCAATCCCACTTTTGGGACAGCCGTTTTCTGGGATTCCAGACGGGACTGCACTGACAGCCTTGCCCGTATCATCTCGCCACAGCTGACAGGGAGAAGCAGTCCGACCGGACTCCAGCGCACACTGACTTGCTGGTCAGGGACTCCACTGGCTCCTCTCCTGCAGTCGGGCAGTGAGCAACACAACGGTGCAACACTACTTGAAAGAGGTATTTTAAGGTAAAAAGGCAGGAATGGCATTTAAGGAAGCAGTTGGAGTTGCTATTTGTGTGAGCTCTGCATAAGACACGTCAGAAGGGACACGCAGCAGCAGCATAGTTTGTTTCTACATGTTGTGGAATTTTTGTGTATGAAAAGTTGGTTTAAATTTCTTTGGTAAAAAATAGGTTCCACTGCTTCCATGAAGTTCCTCTTTGTTATCCCTTAGGATGCACCCTAAAGAATTGGAATATGTTTGGAGGGAAGCCCTTGACAAAGGAAAAATTGAAATGGTATTGTAATCAGTGGTGGCCACAATATAAATTGGACGATGGTGAAAGGTGGCCTGAAAATGGATCCTTGAAATATAATGCTCTTTTACAACTAATGTTATTCTGCAGACGAAATTAAAAATGGGATGAAGTACCATATGTGGATTTGTTTTTTTGATTTAAGAAATAATTGGGAGGTTAGGAAAAGGTGTGGTTTAATGGATTCAAAACAGGAGAATAGGATATATTCTTTAACAGAGAAAAAGAGTAAAGAGTAAGAAAATGCATGTTGTGGTAGCTGTAGGATGGGAAAGTCTAAGTGTGATGAAACTGAGGAAGACGATCAATTACTAGTAACCCCCCCTGGAACAACCAGATTCTGAAACGTCGAGTAAGGATGAAAATGAGGTTACCAGCCCTGTGTCTGGAAGAGCTAGAGCACAAAGACCAGTGATTCAAGCTCCTCTTAGGCTGTTGGATCTGAAGGGACATCAGCATATGTGCATGTACTTTTTACCACATCTGATCTATTAAATTGGAAACAGGCAGTTAGGTGTTATTGGAATAATCCAGAGGGAAGTGTATAGTACTGTTAAAACTGTAATGATGACCCACAACCCAAATTGGGGATACGCAAGCCCTTTTAGAATATTTGTTTACTTATAAAGAGCAGAGAGCAGTTTTAGAGAAACCTAGGGAAGGAAACCCCATCTGCCTTCTATAAAAGATTGACTGAAATAACTTAAAAGTGGACCAGTTTGAACTCGGAACATGCTAGTAATATGAAACTCTGTAATATGTTGTTCATTGGTCAATCAGCATCGGACATTAGAAAGAAACTGCAGAAAGTAGATGGTGCGGACAGGATAACAATTTCACAGTTAATGTCAATTGCGTATAAGGTATACACTAACAAGAAAAGAGAGGCGAACGTGAGCAAAATTGCAGGCTTCTCTACTGACCACCCTGGCAGAAGTACAGACAAGGTTCAGACGTGGAGGTAGTAGTGGAGGCCATTGTAAAACCTCTCTGAAAATGAATTGATGTGCCTATTGTAAGCAGGAGGGACAATGGAAAGGAGACTGCCCATGGTTTTTTTGAGTGAGGAAAAAGGCACAGAGGGAGCTGCTAGGGAAATCGCAGAGATTGGATTAGACTGAAGGGGACAGAGGAACATATTAAAGTTTCCCCAGCCAATCCTCTGGTCCAGTTAAGCTGGGGAATGAAATAATAGATTTTCTGATTGATAGTGGGGCCACCCATTATGTAGTGACTAGCTCTCAGGGACCATTAAGCAAGGCTAAGATAAACATTGTTGGTGCGACAGGGAAAAGAACTTTAAGACCATTTTTGCAGCCTGGGGAAGCTCTCAACTGGGGATACCAAATTAACACATAAACTCCTCTATATGCCAGAATGCCCTTTGCCATTCCTTGGACGAGATTTAATTTGTACATTAAATGCACAATTAACATTCTCTGAAGATTCTGTCCAGCTACATATTCCTTCAAAGAATGGGTGGAGAGCCCAAACATGTTTGTTAACTGAGAAGAATCATGCAGAAGAGGGAGGCATTCCAGGTGAAGTATTGGATGCAGTGATACCTTCGGTATGGCTTCAGGAACACCAGGATGAGCAAAAAAATGTGACACTGATAAAGTTCAAGCTAAAACTAGGATCCCAGCTGGTAAGAAAGAAACAATATCCTATAAAATTGGAAGCTCAGAAGGGACTAGAGCCTATAGTCAATTCCTTTTTAGAGCATGGACAATTAAGGGAATGTCAATCGGAGTTTAATACCCCTTGCTTGACCTGCTCTTCACAAACAGAGAGATGGGAGATGTGATGGTCGGAGGCCGTCTTGGGCTTCAACTAGGATCCCAGCTGGTAAGAAAGAAACAATATCCTATAAAATTGGAAGCTCAGAAGGGACTAGAGCCTATAGTCAATTCCTTTTTAGAGCATGGACAATTAAGGGAATGTCAATCGGAGTTTAATACCCCTTGCTTGACCTGCTCTTCACAAACAGAGAGATGGGAGA